GGCCAAGTTACTCTTTAAGAGTAAGTAGAATTTCCTTTGTTTTAACAGGATTGAAAAGTTGTTGATTAAATTTGAGCTTCAGTTAAGCAGTCAGTAGTACTTCCCCAAAATGCATGCTCTGTGTTTTACTCGCTAAATCTATCCTGAGAAGTAATGCCATTGTTTCTTAATGCCTTCAATATTGTGAGCAAAATAATTTTCCTAAATTGAACACATGAAACATGCAAATTCAAAGTTAGAAGTAACAAAAGTGAAGTCAAGTTTACCATGTAAAGACGATGCTGATAAGCAAGCCTTTCGAGTTTCATAGGCAAGGACTCTGATGTCCATAAGCCCCAAACCCCAGGAAGCACACTTCATTAATTTGCATAGCAGTATAGTGCTTGGAACTTTATTTGAATTTCTAGCATATTTAGGGAATAGAACTCAACGATTTTAACTCATCCCCACTCTTTTTCCATCATAGGTGAAATTTCAATACCGTTTAATAAGTTCACCTGGGGCCGATAGTGTGCCTGCTTGAGGCTTCTGGTTCAATTTACAGCTGTATAAAAAAATAAATAACATTCAACTGCTTGGTCTTTCCAATACTCAGGAAGTTATCATCATGAGCTAATTAAAGCTTCCTCCCATTCACTGATTCAAAGGTGCATTCCCAGTGCTTGTTCACTTCTGTTTTACATTTATTTTTTTCTTAACCTTTTTATAATGTATCAGACATCCTGTTAGATGGCAGAAACAGGATGAAGAGAGGAGAAAATACCAACAAAGGGGCTGAGGAGATGGCTCAGTCATTAAAGAGCTTGCCATGCAAGTGTGAGAAGAGGTGTTCGAATCTTCAGCACCCAACCTAGGAAGGCAGAGACGGGATCCCCAGGTTGGAAAGACCAGCCGGATGCATGCTCCCTGGGTTTCAATGAGAGACTGTGCTTCACCAGATAAGGTAGAAACCCAACTACGTCGGACTTCCAACACTAATCTTAGGCCTCCACATGCATCATACACACGTGCACAAGCACCGCCTCCACACGCACAACCCCATCCGTGTAAAAACACGCATACTCACATTCAAAAAAACGGAAGAAGAAATAAAGATCAACAGTAAAATTCATGCTTTCTTGCAAAGACTATGAGGTAGACTGAATGCCAACTGTTGCTTGTAGTAATTTGAGCAGCGGGGCTGCGTCCCCGGCACCCCGGCCACCTGGCTAGCTTATGCCCCGAAATAACAACACACAACTGTATTCTTTTAAACACTGCCTGGTCCATTAGTTTCAGCCTCTTAACCCATTTCTAATAATCTATGTAGCACCAAGAGGTGCGCTTACCAGGAAAGATTCAGCATGTCTGACCTGGTGGCTGGCTGCATCGCCTTCTGCCTCAGAGAGCAGAGCTATCGTGTCTGCCCAGGAGAGGGGAGCATGGCGTCTCTGAGCTCACTTCCTCTTCCTCCCAGCATTCTGTTCTGTTTACTCCTCCCACCTATGTTTTAACCTATGGGGTCAAGCAGTTTCTTTATTACTTAACCAATGACCTTCCTCCATCATTTTCCCTTTTTTCTGTTTAAACAAAAAGGAAGGAAGGCTTTAACTTTAACTTAGCAAAATTACATATAACAAAACAGTTATCAAGTAAAATTTACAATATTTACATCTATTTTATCTTTATCATAACAAAGGAAAACAACTTAACTATCTATCTATTCTTCAACAGCATCAAAGACTCCAGAAGGATATAATATTACCTAAGTAAAGAAGAAGTCCAAAACTCTCGAAATGACAGAGACATCTTGCTGCCTGGACAGTCACCCAAAGTTTCTCTGTACCATTGGGGCATCCATCTTCGGCCTACAGGCCCATAGTTTCCAGCAGACATTTCCATGAAGCAGGAAATTTCAAAGGCAGTCACTATCTGTTTGTCCTGAAGAATGTCTTGCAGACTCTTTCATGAATCAGGAACCCCGAAAGATCATCTCACCTTTAGGCAAGTTCAGTAGTCCTCTCTCTGCAGGTTCTCTGTGTCCAGTTTATGCAATAGTCCAGGCAAGAGCAGTTTTCTTGCCCAAATGGCTATCAAACTCCATAAGGATCCTCTTCGATGCCCATCTTCTTCCTGAAGTAGATTGGTGCTGCCAGGAGCAGAGTATCTCATTGTCATGAAAAGCCCTAAGTTATTAAAACATTAAATGTCATATTCTGTAGTCTTTGAAAGATAGGAAAAATGCCTATCTGAAATATATCCATGCACATCTAGAAAATCTAACTAACATGACTACAAACTTGACTATTATAGATGATTATCTATTAACAACCTATATACATTACATTTTTATATGAACTACACAATCACAATACCTTAATCAAGAGCAGAAATACATATACATATAACAAAATTGACCTTAAATTTATATCATTAAAGCAAAATCCATATCAATGCAAATTATTCATACCTATATCATATCCCCCTTTAAATGTAAAAGAACATTTATAAGCAATATTTGGGAACATGGGCACAGTTTTTTCTCTCCAAACTGCTTCCTGCTGAATAGGGTTGCTGTTAATCAGGTCTTTCATAGTATAACTTGTGTGTTAGTTTCATCTCAGTTGGCAGTTGAGTGAAGCAATTTTCTGAAGGTGTTCACACCAACCCTTCAGGAGGGCGTGGTCCATCATACCATGTTGGGATAGAAGCGATTCACAGACTCTCACCCTCTGTGAAAACAAAATAAGAAACTCCTTTCCAAAGCATCATGTCCTTAGATCCAAATTTCAAAGTCAAGGCATTTTCAAAATATCTATGTTGGATTAGTTCAGCAGCATTTATAAACAAATATCTGTTAGGAGCTTTTGCTCTATCCTCAGCATTCAAATAATTCAAAGAGAGCATAATAGCATACAGTATCAAAATTCTCTGTGTATTTTCCATCTTTGTGCATTTTATTTTAACCGCTATTTTGTTTATTTTTATTTTTTGCTTTTTAAGACAGGTTCTCTGTATCTTTGACCTGGAATAACTCTGTAGACCAGGCTGTCCTTGAACTCTCAGAGATCCGCCTGTCTCTGCTTCCCAGGCATTGGGATTAAAGGTGTATGCTACTACATCTTGAACTCACAGAGATCTGTTTGTCTCTGCCTTCTAGGCACTGGGATTAAAGGTGTGTGCTACCACACCTTGAAGTCACAGAGGTCAATCTCCTTCTGCCTCCCAAGTGTTGGGATTAAAGGTGTGTACCACCACACCCAACAACTCTCTTCCTTTTTTTTTTACTTTAAGAACTTCAACTTTTAGCCTTCATATATTTTTAACACACAGTAAACCATTTAGAAATTTTCTTTGTATTTGAATCTCTCTTTACTGTATATCCTTCTTTTTCTGACCACACGAGCCTTATGGGTGAGATTAAAGCCGTGGCTTTGGCAGCTAGATCCAGCCCATTCCTTAGCTTTCCAGCCTCATGGCTGAGGTACTGGCTGTAGCCATGTTTACTGCCACAACTCTATGGCATTTCAAGGTCCCTGCCAGCAAGTGAGCTTCAGCAGCCTGTGCTTGCAAACCGCACGAACTGCCTGTGTAAAAGAGTCAGAGTTTGCCCTGGCAGGACAGCCCAGAAAGCCGGCATTTTTAAATGGTGCAGCTTTTTTCCTGCTACGGCTGAAAACTGAAAAGCATGCGTTCAGCTTTTTGTCAATACCATTTCAGTGTTTCATGGCAAGACCTCTTAAGAGCTGCAGGGTTTTGCAGCTGAAGCTGAGTCAGGAAGCCTCTCTTAGATGAGATCGCTTGCTTGCTTCTAGCAAGCAGAGCAGACCCGAGAAATCGCTGCTACCAAGAAAACATGCTTTATTCTTTCCCAAGCATTCTCAGGCTTTCAGTGTTGTCCACACATCTGGACGCCATTCTGTAGTAATTTGAGCAGCGGGGCTGCGTCCCCGGCACCCCGGCCGCCTGGCTAGCTTATGCCCCGAAATAACAACACACAAACTGTATTCTTTTAAACATTGCCTGGCCCATTAGTTTCAGCCGTTGCTTCTATGTTAGGGTAAAGGATCTATGTTCAAGAGCTCGAAGTGCTTGTGTAAGAGTCAGGAGGACTCCAGCACTGTCCAGGCGAACTCCAGTTGCAGCCTCTCTCGAGCATCCTTTCCCAGGAAAGCCCAGAGGACCTGGTCCTTCACTGTCAAGGAGCTCAGGGGAAATCAATCATCGGGGCCTCCCGCTCGCTAGTGCTCCTGGACTATTCAGTGTCACAGGTGTTTCCTGGGTGTGCTAGAAAGGTAAGCTAAGTGGATTTAGGTCCTGAGTGGCCTTGTAACCAGACCCTGCTCATCTGTGAAAAGCAGGCCAGGTGGCTAGGGCGATGCCATTTCAAGCGGACATCATCAGAGGTTTGCTTTGGAGCCTACCGATATTTTTCTTCTGGGTAGGGTGTCTTATTTCCTTTGTATTTTTGGATAACAGCCCTCCTGACCATTTCCAACTTTGCAGAGTTTCAAAGCCCTCATGTAGAGCGCGTTTTCCTACCGGAATTTAGTCACGGGCAGGGACTTTGGGGAATGAAGAAACTGGTTTTTAAAACTGAGTCCAGAAGAGGAGAGAGGCCATAGCTGGGGAAACTTGTACTTACAAGAGCTTTTCTTACCTTACTTCTCAGCGTGACAGCCCTCCTCAACCAGAGGACTACATTTCCCGGCAGGCGCTGTGCATCTCACAGGCATAAGGTGGCGGGCTAGGGGCGCTCCTCCTCCGTCCAGCTAGCCAATAGGAACGGCCGGCTTGGACCCCTGCCCGACAAGGAGCACGCGGAAACGTGTGCCCTAAAACTACATTTCCCGATGCGCAAGTACACGAATGTTGACCAATCGGCGCTATGCACTTCGAGGCTCGGGGAGGAGCCGGCCTGGTCAGCCGCCCCCATTGGCTAGGCGAGGCCTAGGCGAGCCGGAACCCGGGAGCGAGCGAAGCGCAATGACATTTCCTCTTTAAATAACCGGAGCCGGGGCCCCTTGGAGAAATGGCCGCGTCGGCAGGTGGGTTGCATGGTACTGCCTCCGCGGTACCGGAGGTGGAAACCAGGAGCGCGGTGCGTGCTCCGACCCGAGGAGGCGACCGTAAGGCGGGAGGGAAGGATGGAGAGGCGGCGGAGGCGAAGATGAATGGGGAGGAGGGCGGTGGGTGGCGCGCCCGCGGAGACGGGGCGTGTGGGTACCGGCCGCCCGCGAGGCGGTTGAGGGGCGCCCTGGCGTTCACCCTCGGTCGCGCTGCCCTCGGGTGGCTCTCGCTCCGCACTGGTCTCCGAGCCGAGTCCTCGCGCACCGTCGCCGGTTCGGGTGGCTCGCCTCACACCCTCCCTCCGGGAGCGCGGCGGTCCGGGCTCGCCGGGCTCCCGAGGTACTCGCCGGCCTGGGAACTTGTTCGCCCCTTGCTGGGCTCTCGGCTCCTAGAGCCTACGCCGGCGGGCTTGTGCCTAGGGTGGGGGGAAAAAACCCACGATGCCATAACTGGCTTCGAACTTCTTGTGGCTGTTCGATTTCTCTCCTCCTAGATTTAAGTAAGTCTTCCCCAACAACGAATGGGATTCCATCTTCAGACACAACCAACGAAGCCATGGACCCCTTCCATGCTTGCAGTATTCTTAAGCAACTCAAAACAATGTACGATGAAGGACAGTTGACAGACATTGTAGTGGAAGTGGATCACGGGCAAACATTTTCCTGTCATAGAAACGTTCTTGCTGCTATCAGCCCCTACTTCAGGTATGACGACGGCAGAAACCTGTGTTGCTATCCTATCCTTCGTCGCCAGTATTGCACACTTGGTTCTGATACTGAGTTGGGAACAAACAAACAAAGGCAAGCCGTGCGTTTGTTTTCTGAGAACAAATAACAGGCTTTGCCTTATTAATGTGCCCTTGTTTTGAACTGTGGGATTTTAGAGTTCAGAGGGTTGGGTTTTAAGTTAGTGGACTTCTGTGTGAGGTGTTCCCCAATATGGAAGACGCCACCACACGTTAACATTATGATGCCTTAAATTTAAAACATTCAGTAACTCAGCGGCACTAACTAATACGAGTCAGGTGCACAGGCAGCTACTTGTGGCTGGTGGCTGCTATATTGGGCAGCATAGATATACAATGTTTCAGTCATTGGAAGTTTTATTAGAGAATGATCTGTAATTTATTTTTTAAAATTTATTTTTTTCTTTTAGTAAATCTTTTTTTAGAGTTTAAACCATAGGAACCTGTTCCTTTACAAATAAATTAGGACTTAGTAGAATGTTTTAATGCCGTGGAGTTTTGTAAAATGTAGTGGAATAGTTTATTTATGTTTTAGTTTCCAAGATTCCCAAAGGTATTGCTGTTTTCATTTTCTATTTTTATCATAAAATGTTGAAAAGTGAACATTTTAAACTTTGGTCTGGAAACAAAGAGCAGGTGATTGGAAAAGATAATTTTTTATCTGGACATAATGTTTCAAGTATTTTCTTCTAAAAGCCTTTTGGTATTCAGAAGTGGTTCATATTGTCAGCCACACTCTTTTTTTCTCTTGGGAGGAGCTTGTAGGGCACATCCTACTGTAATGTTGCATTCATTAGCTCTTGTTCCTCTTTCTCAGAATGCTGGCTTGAATATAGTTACTTGAATCTGTTACTTAAAACCATTTAGACTTGTCTTGGGTAGATCATTGAACTACTAACTATTAATTATCACAGGATAGTAAGCCAGAAAGAAGAAAACATGAAACAGAGACAATACATATTCCATTTATATATGAAAAAAGATTCAGTGAGTGCGATCTATGTTAATCATGTTGCAGAGCTAGATTTTATTCTAAAACTAGACTTCTTATTGTGTTATACACTTGAACAAAAATGGTTGAAATGGGTCTTCATTAAAGTTTCTGTTTTAAAAAAAGCTATTATCTTTGAATAGTACAATAAACTGGAGCTCCAAAGTAAAAATTTTCTCATTGAAACTTTATTTTCTAGATAATACCATATGAATGTCATATATAATTAAAATTAGATTTGAATGCCTATACAGAAAAAGTATGGTTACAATAGATTTTAGTTTTTAAGAAGTTAAAAAAAATGCTTGGAAATATTTCGGAGCATTCATTCACAAAAAAAAAAAAATGCTACTAGAAAACCTAAATACTAAATTCTGCATACAAGTTTCCTGGCTCTCCTGGTTTGAGACTTTCAGGACTCATACTTAATAGACTCTAAGGCTTGCATTGCAGGTGAAAGAATTAGAGCAGCTGAAAATGTGACCCGTGCTTTCTGATGCAGCGGTTTCATAATTAATCATTAAGAAAACTTTTTGCTCCTTGGATTTTGTGCGAGGGAGGACTCCCAGTGTACTCAAGAGTACATGAAGAACCTTTTGGGAACTCGTGAAGGTATCAGGCCATTCGTGTGTGTTAGCCTAGCCGGTTGAATGCAGGAGTGGCTCCCACGATAAAGGGATATGTGATGATACTCTCCCTTTCTACCCAGTGAGGGGCTGGACTTGTCTTTTTATGTGGTAGCTATATAAGTGAATGGTTTAGCACCTGAACTGAAAACCAGCTCCAAAATAGGAGCAGTTGGTCTCTAGTTATCAAAGCCAATGGTAATATTAAACTGAAAAATTACATTATTGAAGTAAAAAGATAAGTAGTTTGGATACCAAGTTGAGCCCTTGTACCCTCCAGGTTTCTCATACTATATATTAAAATCTCACACGTTGAGGGCTGGAGAGATAACTCAGTGGTTAATAGCACTAACTGCTCAGTGGTTAATAGCAGTAACTGCTCTTGCAGAGGACCCAAATTTAGTTAGCAACACTCATATTAAGCTACTTACCATCACCTGTAGCTTCAGTTCCAGGGGAACTCAATGCCATCTTGTAAACTCTGCAAACATCTGCACTCACAGCTGGTCAGTCCTCCATATATATACACATAAATGAAAAGCATAAAATCTTTAAAAAACTGAAATCCCCAAGTATTTGATGAGGGTTTCAAAGGTGTTTGCCCATTTTCCCACTTAGGATACTTTTCACAGTGTAACAAAACAAGTTCCAAGTGTCAAGGTTTCAGTTACTTTTATCCCCAGTATGACACTGATTTCTTCAGCACATCCTATTCAGCACCCCAGATGCTCTTCAGAAAGAATAAAAGTGTACATATCTTTTCTAATAGGTCTTTTGGAACAATTTTGATATTTAAGAGTTTCCTAGAATGGTGGTTGTGGTAGTGCATGTCTTTAATTCCAATGGTTGGGGAGTCAGAGAGGCAGGAGGATCTTCATGAGTTCAAGACCAGCCTAGTCTATATAGTGAGTTCCAGACAACCAGGGCTGTGTAAAAAGACCTTCTCTCAAAACAATGACAGCGAATGGTTCTTTAAGACGAAACCTTACGGAAAGGAAATGATGTTTACAAACGAGTCATACTTAAGAGTCCAGTTTTATCTGCTTACTGTTTGGGGGAAAGACAGTTTTATAAATATACTCAGTTAAAAAAGAAGTAAAAACCAACTGTCTTGACTAAAGCAACATATTACAGCATGGCCAGGCTGTTTTCAAGTTTGCTGTGCTCAGGCTGCTGTAAATTCATGGCTGTCCTCTCGCGACAGCCTTCCACAAGCTGGAGTCATACACCACTGCACCCACCTTAGAATCTTAGTCCTGAGGGTAATAAGTTGGGGAAATTAAAAATAATTTCCGTAGAATCAGCAATGTGTTGAATGTTAAGAGAAAGGCATTGTATTAACCCTATCATAATTTTTTTGTATGGATATAAATAGGTAAAATACAGGAACTTGAACTTTAAAATGAAGTATATCTGTTTTAAGGAAAGGTTTTCAAAGTGTCCAAGAATAAGTAAAGTGGTCTTTAAAAGGAATCCAGTTTGAAAAGGTATAGGTGAATTCTACGTACCTTTGAAGAACGCTCTTCTCTTTCTGAGATGAAAATTGACTTAGTGCATACAAGTTCCCTTGTAATTTTCACTGGGCCATCAAAGATTTTATTAGACTGGCTCGCTGTGCTAAGACTAATTTTGCTATCCTGATGATAGCTTGAACTTTGTCTGGGACATTATCATTTCAGGTCCATTATCTGTAAGGCAATTTGACTTGAAGCTTGGATAGGTGTTCTCAGGATTATCAGATCTGAAATATGTCACTTACAGTGTGGTTTCTTAACAATATTCTCCTCTTTCTATAGTTAGCATGTGAGAACAGAATCCTGCCTCCTCCCTTTCCCAGGTCTTATGTCATTCCCCAGGTGAGACTTAGGAACTCAATTAGCCCAAGATCTGATTAACAAGAGATGCCTATAAGAGTCTTATTAATTTTACTTGTACAGAGGGATTTTTACAAGAAAGCAAAATCCACCCAAATTATTGGAGCATGAAGCATTTATATCTGTTAGACAAAGAGCAATGCATTTGTCAAGGAATGCCAGGGTAAGTGGCTATCTGGATTAGGGCAGTAAATTCTAGGAGTGTTACTTAGGGATGTATGAGAGTGGAAGAGCCGCAGGAGCATCTGATGTTACTTAGGGATGTGGGGTTGAGGAGCCGCAGGAGCACTTGATGTTACTCAGGGATGTGGGGAGTGGGGGAGCCGCAGGAGCACTTGATGTTACTTAGGGATGTGGGGTTGAGGAGCCGCAGGAGCACTTGATGTTACTTAGGGATGTGAGGAGTGGGGGAGCCGCAGGAGCATTTAATATTACTTAGGGCTGTGGGGAGTGGGGAGCTGCAGGAGCACTTGATGTTACTCAGGGATGTGGGGTTGAGGAGCCGCAGGAGCACTTGATGTTACTTAGGGATGTGTGAGAGTTGAGGAGCCACAGGAGCACTTGAAAGGAGGAGTGACTTGAGCCTGTGTATTCAGGCTCACTTCAGCCACAATTACCCAGTTACTCTGGTGATCCTGGCTCTTTCCCATTATTGGTATCTGAAGGACCACCATCCTGAAAGAATCTCAGTGGCTTGCTGCATAGAGAGAGGCAGGCCACATGCTCTTCCATCAACTTTAGTTCCCCAGGTGGTTTCAGCTTGAAGCAATCCACCAGTCTATCATATTTTTAGACTGTATGGTTTTAAACTCCTTTGGCACAAGATGGAATGACCCTGAGAACGGAGCTTTTGTGATTAAGTAGAACTAAGTCTTTGTGCTAGTTCATCCCTCTTCAGAACATGAGGAATGGATTCATTTTGCTTCAGAAGGGCTTCTCTGTGTGTAACTTTATACTTCTAAAAATTTTTATTTGTGGTACATATAAAATATTAACCACTTTTTTTTTTCTTAGATCCATGTTCACTAGCGGCCTTACGGAAAGTACTCAGAAAGAAGTTCGAATCATCGGTGTTGAAGCTGAATCAATGGATTTAGTATTGAATTATGCCTATACCTCTAGAGTTGTTCTGACAGAGGCCAATGTTCAGGCCTTGTTCACTACAGCTAGCATCTTCCAAATTCCTTCCATACAAGACCAATGTGCTAAGTATATGATTAGTCATTTGGAACCACAGAATTCTATTGGAGTCTTTATCTTTGCTGATCATTATGGTCATCAGGAACTTGGAGATCGATCAAAAGAATACATCCGTAAAAAGTTTCTGTGTGTCACCAAAGAACAAGAGTTTCTGCAGCTGACAAAAGACCAACTCATAAGCATACTAGACAGTGATGATTTAAATGTAGACCGGGAAGAGCACGTTTATGAGAGCATTATAAGGTGGTTTGAGCATGAACAGAATGAAAGAGAAGTACACCTTCCAGAAATTTTTGCCAAATGTATACGTTTTCCATTGATGGAAGATACATTTATCGAGAAAATTCCACCTCAGTTTGCACAGGCCATAACCAAAAGCTATGGAGAAAAGGGGCTATCCAACACCAATGGCTGTACGCAGAGGCTTGGAATGACTGCTTCTGAAATGATCATATGTTTTGATGCTGCACACAAACACTCAGGAAAGAAGCAAACAGTGCCTTGTCTAGATATAGTCACAGGAAGAGTGTTTAAACTATGCAAACCACCAAATGACCTAAGAGAAGTTGGGATTCTTGTATCACCAGATAATGACATTTACATCGCAGGGGGGTACAGGCCAAGCAGCAGTGAGGTCTCCATCGATCATAAGGCAGAAAATGATTTTTGGATGTATGACCATTCCACCAATAGATGGCTATCCAAGCCATCCTTGCTTCGAGCCAGAATAGGCTGCAAACTCGTGCATTGCTGTGGTAAAATGTATGCAATTGGAGGGCGTGTGTACGAAGGTGATGGAAGAAACTCCCTGAAGTCCGTGGAGTGCTATGACAGCAGAGAGAACTGTTGGATGACTGTCTGTGCCATGCCCGTTGCGATGGAGTTTCACAATGCTGTGGAGCACAAAGAAAAGATCTATGTTTTACAGGGTAGGTGACAGTGGTTCTTCAAGGAAGGGGGAGACTTAGTAAGACAGACAACGTCAGGTTTCCTAACCATAAACTGTGCTAGGACATTCTTTCTGAGAAAACAAAGTAAAAAAGCTTAAAAATTTAAAATATTTTTAAGTTACTGAAATGGTCCTCTGTTTATGTTTGGATATCATACATTTTTTTTTAAAGAAACATAATAAGTAATAGTTCAGCTATTGCTATTTCAGAGCATTTTTATAAGGTTAATTATACCTGTTTGTTTTTTTTTTGATTTTGAATTATCAAGAGATGTAACAATTACTACTTACGGAATTTACTGAGTGAGTTTACTGGAATTACACTATTCATTAACCAAAGGATTTTTTAAAAAAGATTTATTTATTCTTCATATATACATGTACATTTTGCCTACATTCATGTCTGTGCACTGTTGTAAGGAGACCACTTGTTTCCTGGCCGCCCGGCAGCTCAGACCCAAAATAATCACACAGAAACTATATTATTTAAATCACTGCTTGGCCCAATTGCTCTAGCTTCTTATTGGCTAACTCTTACATATTAATTTAACCATCTCCATTAATCTGTGTATCACCACGTCTTGTGGCTTACCAGCTAAAGTTCTGGCGTCTGTCTCCGGCAGGGCTTCATGGCTTCTGACATTCAGTTCTGTCTTCCCTGGCTAGCTAAGTTCTGCCCTCCTAGAAGTGCAAAGCAGTTTCTTTATTCATTAATGGTAATCGCAGCATACAGAGGGGAATCCCACATCAGTGCATGCGGTGTCCACAGATCAGAAGAGGGTGTCAGATCCCCGGGAACTGGAGTTATAGGCAGTTGTAAACTGACATGTGGGTTCTAGAAACTGAACCAGGTCCTCTGGTATAGAAGCCAGGGCTTTTAAACATAGAGCTTTATTTCCAACTCTACAAGACTTTTGTGGGGTTTTTTTTTGGGGGGGGGGTGGTGTTTGTTTTTATTATATGGATATTTTGCCTGAATGTATGACTATATACCACATACCTCTTTAGTGAATGCAGAGGCCAGAAGAGGGATACCTTGGAACAAGAGTTAAGATGGTTGTGCTGCTGGGAATCGAACTTGAGTCCTCTAATAGAGCAATTAATGCTCTTAGCCACTGAGACACTTTTTAGCCCCACAAAGGGTTTTATAGTTATGAAACGTAATTATAAAGGCTCAAAATTATGTTTTGTAGCTCTTGGCTTTTTTTAATGGTATGTTTATATTTTAAAATGCTATGTATATATTACGCTTGGCCTGAAGGCCAGACATAAATATTGTGTGTCTTTCTCTATTGCTGTTCACCTCACTTTTGAAACAGAATTTTATTGAAACTGGAGCTTACTAGTTATCTCAACTGGCTTGCCATCAAGTCCCTCCCGAATCTTTCTCTGCTCCCTCACTGCTGAGGTTATATGTGTGTGCCACCATGCTCTGCTTCTTCGTGGATCCTGGGAATCTGAACTTAGGTCCTCGTGCTTGTATTGCGAGCACTTTTCTTGCTGAGCTATCTCCCCAGCCCCATACACTTTTCTTAAATGTTTTAGTTGCTGGGATTTTGAATGCAGCATAGATGACTCTAAAGTCTTTATTTTCCGTGTTTCCTAATGGGTTATATGTAAATTATTTCCTATATGACTACTTGAATAAAACGGAAACAATGTAGGTTTTTATGAAGATATATGTGATTATTTTTAAGCCCTGTCCCATTTTTAAAATTTTTTTTTCTCTTTTAACTTAAAATTTTTGAGAGATGCCTAGACATGTTTGCTTTACGTTGCCTATTTAATTCTGCAGAACTTAACTAAGGAGTAATATTGTCTGCTACTGTACTTCAGTTAAATGAAAACGTGGCAAGATTTGGGCTTATCTTTGCAAAATAGAAGAATGTGTGTATAATTCATCCAAGATGGTTGTATCCAGTGTGATAGAGTATGCTCCCCACCTCCATCTCTTTCTTTGTATGTTACTGGCAAAATAGTTTATAGAGATAATTTGAAGGCTCCTCAATGGAATATGTGGGCTGTATATTAATGTAAATACTGTAGCAAAACAGCAGTGACAGCAGTGACTTAATAGGCTGTCGTGACCAATATAAATACTTTTTAACCGGAGGTTGTATTTTATATAAGAGGACTCTGAGGCCCTGAGTCTTTTTAATTCTTATCTTTGGTTTTAGTTTATTAAAGAAGAGTTGAATTTTTTTTTTTTTTGTTTGTTTTTCAAGACAGAGTTTCTCTGTAGCTTTGGAGCCTATCCCGGAACTAGCTCTTGTAGACCAGGCTGGCCTTGAACTCACAAAAATCCACTTGCCCCTGCCTCTGTGCACGCCTTTAATCCCAGCACTTGGGAGGTAGAGACAGGCGGATCTCTGTGATTTCAAAGCCAGCCTGGACTACAGAGCAAGGTCCAGGAGAGGCACCAAAGCTTCACAGAGAAACCTTGTTTCGAAAAACAAAAAAAAAAAAAAAAAAATTCAACCTGTTCTACCCATAACTGCTGAAGTGTAAGTTTAATCTGCCCATATAATCGATATTGTTATCACAAAGACATTATACAATATTCCCATTAAGCTGGGCATTGCACATACCTCTAATCCCAGCTCTCTGAAGGGTGAGGTAGGATGATCTTAAGGCTGGCCTGAGCTCAGGCCGGAGACCTTATCTCCAAAAAACAAGCAATGCTATATCATTAGCAAGATTCTTACAGACATTTTCATATTGGCAGTGTGACTCACCACACTCTTATTGTCACTTTATAAAAGTAACCTACTCAATGTGAATTCCATAAATCGTTTTGAAATTCATCTTTGCTTTATAACAACATTCATGTAAACACATCAGTGACCCACAAGTACAAAACTAAAGAATTCCGTGTGCTTTTCTAACCAAGTAGCATACACATATGTAATGGATTTTTATGGTTAAGTTGTATGTGTGCATGTTGCCTGTCATATTCTCCCCAGGTCATCCATACCAACACAGGTTGACTATAACATTACTGTTAATGTGTATATTTTACAGGAGGCAAATACTTGGAAAACATAAGCTCTTTAGTCTTCAGAGGTTGTAATTAAAGTTGCAACCAACCATCAAAATTTACATACTTGTTTCTTTTTTTTTAGGGGAATTTTTCCTCTTCTATGAGCCTCAAAAAGACTACTGGGGGTTTTTAACCCCCATGACTGTGCCTAGAATCCAGGGCTTGGCAGCTGTGTACAAGGACTCGATCTACTACATAGCTGGAACCTGTGGAAATCATCAGCGTGTGTTTACTGTAGAAGCCTATGATATTGAGCTAAATAAATGGACTCGTAAGAAGGACTTTCCATGTGATCAATCCATAAATCCATACCTGAAGCTAGTGCTTTTCCAGAATAAGCTCCATCTGTTTGTCCGAGCTACTCAAGTGACTGTTGAAGAACACATCTTCAGAACCAGCAGGAAAAATTCTCTTTACCAGTATGACGACATTGCCGACCAGTGGATGAAAGTGTACGAGACCCCTGACCGATTGTGGGACCTTGGCCGCCATTTTGAGTGTGCTGTGGCTAAACTCTATCCTCAGTGTCTTCAGAAAGTACTGTAAGAAGTGGCAGGCCTCAGCACATCTCTGTCATCTCCTACTAAGGGACCTTGTTTGGAAATGCTGTCGACATTGAAGAAAACTGAGGGAGTTTTGTAGACAGAAATGGGTGCTCGTAAAGATTGTGGTATGGGGAGGGATTCACTTTTACCTTCATGACATTTTCATTTGAGTAAGGAAAGGGAACAAAGTGCAATTATCAGCATTTTCCACCCCTGGCATTAAAGTATCATTCTGGAATTTTGTGAGAAGCAGTCCCTGAGAAACCAGGTGAATCAAGACAACTATGCACTCTTAAAAAGCAGTTTGAGTATTCCTGGGTAGAGACATCCAAACTAGCTAACATGACTTTATTTTAAATACGGGTAACATTATGAGGCAATATCATTTGTTTAGCTGTGATCTCTCTAACACAGACAAGCACTAACTTAGATCCTCATTCGTACTATTTATATGTATTTACATATCTATTTTTGTGTACTGTTTTCAAGTGTATGAGATTAAATGTGCTCTGTTAAACTGAAGGAAAACTCAGAAAGAACCTTTAGTCGGATTGTTTCATATTCTGCTGTAACTTTAAGTTCAAACTTTGAAGTGGCAGTTTTCTATCCATAACTTTTTCAAGTGCTAACACTGTCTCATTTTTTAAAATCCCAGAAAGGGCTCAGATTTGCAGGTGACTGGTGCTCGTCTAAGTTAGTTCACACGGAGCTAGATAGACTTAAATGGTTTGGACCTACGTTTATCTTTGAGATTAGCATGATACTTCCATGGCCATGGCACTTTACCTTGTGACTTCACAAGGTCTGCTGTTTGTGTGATAGGATATGGCTGATGGCCATTGGTCCAACTGGATTCAGTTTTACAATTCCAAGTTTGCACTAACATGGGCTGTTTTGTTGCCCAGCCTTTTTTCCATCCTCTGCCTGTCCAGTCATTGTTGGTAGCGTAAAAGTTAACTTACAATGTGAAGTTTTTACACCTACTTATAAAATTGTTTTCTAGAAACAAGAACCTTGCAGTGATCTAATAATTTAGTTGCTTTTAAGGTTCATATTACAGTTACAATCTCTATTTTTTTGCACCCAACGGTGGTAAATATTTTTTATGTTGAAACACTTGTTCTAGCAGTAGGTGATGTAGAAGAAAGGATGAGTGGATGAATAGAATCATAGCTTTCTGTATTGTAGGTACTAAGGAGCTGTTCATATTTGACTGGTCAGTTTCTCTGTTAGGATTATTAACATGAAAGACAAACCAGGTCCTTTTGTACCTGAGGCATTTGGATTGATAATGTTCTCATTACTATGTGTACTATAACTACTAAGTAGTATACATATAAGGCCAGAGTCTGTCCTCAGTCAGAGCAGTTTGACTGAGGGGGGGAGGGGGGCTTGCACCAATTGTAAGATGATACTGTGAAACAAATTGAAAACATTGCCTCTTGCATCACATACCTCCTTTTCCAGAAACTTGGTAGACTGCTTTGTAAAGGCCCTACAAGCAGAGATGTTTCTCTGAAACAGGAATTCAAGTGGATGGAGTTCAGAGTGAGCGTTTATGTTCCACACGGATAGCTGTGCGATTTCTCCTCATCTCTGTAAACTTTGACAGCCAAATTTTTTTTTTTTTTTTTTTTTTTTTTACCTTTCTAGTTTGTCTCGGGTTTTCTTTTGCTTCATGCTGTGTTAGGGTTATTTCTGTGAAGTTTTTGAATTATATTATAGTTTGCATTGCTAGTGAGAAGGAAAAATAATTTTTACAAAGAGATATCCATGTAATTTATTTTTGAAAGCTTTGTTGAGTATCTAAGATTTCCTGCCACTTTGACAATCTCTGTATTTAGAAAAATAATACTTGAAAACAAGACATAGAATATTGAGTTAGCAATGTACATGTTCCATATGGTACGTAAGAGAACAGCACACTGTGGCTAATTCTACACTAGATTTATTCTCTTGGTCTGTACAGCAGTTGGTCCTTTTGTTATAACAGTGTATATTGAGGGTATCATCTGAGAGTAGTTGTCAGGCCAAGGATTAGAATTTGCTATAGGTGTAGAATATATATTTGAGTTTTGTATGAAAAACTATTTGTTTACATTACATAGCTGGGGTATTTTGCCACTCTTAAAATGATTTCAGAAAAGGTCCTAGGAAACTAAGATTAGTGACATGTGTGGGTTTGTGTGTAGATACTTAGGGTACATTTTCATGGTGTAAGAATATCAGTAAAAGGCACAATGGCTACTACAGGATAAAAAGACCTAACAGATGCCAATCCCCCTTTAACTATGTTTCTACATTTGAAGAATGTACGAAGCACTTTTCCTATATGGTTTTTCCACGATGAAAACTGGGCTAGGTGTAACCATGTTGTAGGAAAGAAGAAATTATTTGTGTCTGTCTTTGTTTCTTGTTATCCTACAAAGTTGCTCTCACTGATGCATAAGGAAAAGTGGATGTGATTTGTGAGGAGGTTTAAATGGCATTCAGCATTCAGTGCTCAGGTATGCAGTAAGTACTGTAGTCCTCTGGGGCAAATGTGTAGATATTTTTAAACATTTTGCCGTAATTGCACAATTTTTTGCATTTTTTACCTGATGTCATTGTTTCTTGTAATAAAACCTTTTCTGATTTAAAACTGCCAGTGTTGTAAACTGACCTGAAGAATGAATTTTGAAAAATTAAAATTTGCTGAAAATCACAAACTTATGTCATGGTAGAGTGAAGTAATATTTTAGCCTATTAAATATCTGACTTGTGGCATAAAATCAACTATTTAGTTTTACCAATAACTTTTATTCTGATTGTTTTAGTCTAAGCTGTCTTCAATGCCTCTCTTACATACACTTCATATCCCATCCCAGGGAATCCTGTTGCTTCCTCTATGTAGCACTTAGTTAATGTCCACATGGTCAGCGTACCATTTCAACCATGTTACCCTGGCCTACGCCTGTCCTGTCTGCCTGTGTGCAATTGCTACTGCAAAGGATTTCTTTCTGCTTAGCACCCTTGAGCCTTGTGATTCCTTCTCCACATAGTGTGGTCTGAGTGCTTCTGAAGCCAGGGTTGTATCCCTCTTCTGCTTAGATTTGATGGCATCCCAACTCCCTATAGGAACTGAGGTCATTACCAATATTGTCTACAACCCAAAACTATCTCGCAGACCTCACAGTAATTCCTTGAACTTAGTGGATTCCAGCCACATTAACCACGCTCTTCCTTAGACATGCCAAGTGTTTCTCATATGGGGCCTTTGCCCTTGCCATGTCATCGATCAGAGAAGGCCTTACACTTCAGTCTATATTAAAATACCACTCTCCTTAGTTGTTAAAGAGCACTGTCTGTTCTTGCAGAAGACTGGGGTTCGATTCCTGGCACCCACGTGGGAGCTCACAATTGTCTGCAAATCCAGTTCCAGGTGCTCAACACAAAGTGCATGTGTTGAGCGTATACACTGTGAAGATACACATGCAGGAAATGCAGAGATAAGATTTTTCTTAAAGTTTAAAACATCAACTTGCTAGCCAAACTTTCTCAATTGTTCTATTTTCCATGTCCTTCCCTTTCATTCTGCTATTTCTGCTCTATTTTCCACACATCTTTCCCCCTATTAAAATGTCATGAAGTCAAGGATTTTGCCTTAATTTATATTTATTTACTTGGCATATGTGTATGTGAGTAGGCCACATGTATGCAGGTGCCTGTGGGGGGCAGAAGAGAGCATCAGATCTGGAGCTGGAGTTGGGAGGGTTGTAAGCCACCCGACATAGGTGTTGGGAACCAATGAAAGGGCAGCAAGCACCCTTAAGCATTGAGCCATTTCTCTAGCCCCTACTCTTGGGCTTTACATTGATGGCATGCAGTTGGCATTCAATAAATGTTGATAAAAGTGAGTTTTCAGCTCAGCATCAGCACACTGAGAAGCAGTAGGTCTGTTAGAAATACAAAGGCCAGTTGAACTCGGGAAGGTCATATAAGTACTCAGGATTTTCACTTTCAGTGGGTTCTGTCCCCTCACCCCCAGCCCCTGTCAACACTGTTAAATACTTAATATAACTTCTAAATGGTTCTCACCCAAGCAGAACCTTTTCTCTGTTACCCCGTACGCTCCTCTGTTCTATTATATTAATAGGCCACCAGTATGAGTTCTGTCCCTCAGAGTTTCCAGGAGAAATTAAAGGAGATTGGTATACGTTTTACCTTTAGAATTTCAAGTGGAGTCACTGACGCATTTCTCTAATGTGTGAGAATATTCCATTTATATATTTCTCCCTGTGTGCCTTTAATCTTTTGAAAGATGCATCCCTTTCACCTCCATGGTCAATGTGTGGCATGAACTTGTTCATAGTATTTTTTTTTTTTTACATCATTGGAATTGGTACTGGTCACTTCCTCAATTCATTTTTGATGTGTGTGCACGCACCCACACTTGCTTACAAATTTCTGGCTTGGGTTTTGTTTTTTTCAATATGGACTCTTGCCCTGTCACCCCGACTGACCCTGAATTCCCAGTCCTTTGAAGTGTTGGGGTTACAGGCTCGTACCACCACATCTGTCTGCCTTTTTCAAATCATCTTTCTTGTTCTGAAGGGTTCCCTGGCTAAAGTTAAGAAAGCTTGTGGATTTAATTTATGTTAGCTTATTTTCATATTTGTTTTAGCTTGTCTGAGTAAATGCAAAATAAATTTCCTATGGGTCCCTTACGGAAGGGACTTTCAAGGGAATCATGGTAATTTCTTTGTTTAAAATAGGTGGTTTTAGACCTCTTTCGTTTGAAGTAGTAATTGATGTGTTCGTTACTGATGCTGTTTCCCTTGTGGTTTGTTTTTCATTACTTTTACACCTTCAATCTTAACATTTTATATTGCTGTGTTGGAGGAGGCTGCTCGTTAGTTCTCAGCCGCTTAGCCCCAAAGTAATCACACAGAAACTGTATTATTTAAATCACTGTTTGGCCCATTAGCTCTAGCTTTTTATTGGCTAACTCTCACATCTTAATTTAACCCATCTCCATTAATCTGTGCATCACCATGAGATCATGGCCTACCAGCAAAGTTTCAGCACATCTGTCTCCTGCAGTGGCTCTATGGCTTCTCTCTGACTCTGCCTTCTCCCTTCCAGCATTCAGTTTAGTTTTTCCTGCCTAGCTCTGTTCCCCTATAACTCTGCTATATGCCTAAGCAGTTCCTTTATTGACCAATGATATTCACAGCATACAGAGGGCAACCTCATATCATTACTGTATCTCATTTTAGCCAAGCAATTATATTTTATACACCTCCCATCCCCATGGTTACCTTAGATTTCCAGTCTTTATTTTAAATCTAATCCAAGGTCCTGTTCAAATGGTGTCATGACACTTTAGGTGTAGTACAGTATATTTGATTTTTTGAGATGGTTTCTCTGCATAGCCCTACTTGTCCTGGAACTCAAATGTACACCAGGCTGACCTCGAACTCAGAGGTGCCTCTGCTTCCCAAGTGCTAGGATTAAAGGGGTGTGCCACCACTGCCTGGCCCAGTATACTTTTAATTATTATATTTTTATTATCTCTACCTCAAATAACTATCCTTTCAGATAACTTTATATTAAAAAATATTTATCTTCTCTTATTTCTTATGAGATGGTGTACATTATCTTTGTGTATCTACTTTTTAGTGGACATTGTATGTGGAGCAGGTCTATAAGAGATAGATTCCCTCAGATGGTATTTTTGTTGGTTTATTTTTTGAGAAAAAAATCTTTTTTTTTTCTCCTTCACTTTGAAGAATGATTTTGCTGGATCTAGAATTCATGTTTGTTTTCAAAGTGATTAAATCTCAGTTATTTAGTGGACCTTTGTGTGTTGTTTCTTGATTTATTTTCTTCTGCTCCATCCTCCATTCCCTGGCCCCTGCTCAACCTGTTGAATCCTTTTCCTTACTTAGGAGAGAAAGGGGAGAGGATTGCCACTCTCCGTATTTATCGTGCTCTTGGAAAGCATTCTCCCTAGGAAACAGGCCTTGGTTATGGCAAAAGGTTCTGGGTAGGCCTCAGAATCATGTCTCCTGTCCTAGACAGAGCCTCAGGGATTCTTTTTCAGATCTTCACCATAAGGAACACTACCCCTTGTGGGATTCCAGAAGATAAAATTCACAGAACCTATGGGCCCAAAAGAATAAGGATGGGGTTTTTGGGAGTTTTCTCTAGAAATCCACCAAAATAATTGTTTAAGAATCTTACCTGTTTACAGCTCTAGCTACTTCAGATCTAAGAAACCAGTACCTTATCTGTGGTCCTCTGATCCACAGTGCTAGTTGCCAAGGTGACTGAGTAACCAGTACCTTATCTGTGGAACCTCTAGATCAACAGTGCTAGGTACTAAGGTGACTGCAAGGAAACCTGACTTTTGAGGGGTCCAGGAACAGTGACTGATAGCAGTTTAAATAGCCTTTCTTGACATTTTAGTGCTGGATCTAGGAGTCCCTACAATAAAGCTTCTTATGTTTTTGTATTGGTTGAATGAATCAGTTATTCTTCAAGTTATTTCATACTTTATCCCTGCCTATAAACATTTGATGTATTTCATAATAATAAAACCCAAAAAAACTATAAAAACCTGTCCATATTCTTATTCATTGTCAAGAATCTTGTAATTTTCATATCTATGGAATTATTTGACAGTTCAATGAATATAGACTCTCATAACCAATAACTCAGTTCTCTAGGACCAAATTGAAATTTTTGATACAATTTAATTAAAGTCATCAGTCTTGAAGGTTTTTTCTTTTAACGGAGTTGAAATTGCAGTGTCAGCATTGAAACTGTCATATTTATATGAAGCGTTTTCTATTGGCTGGTGTGTTCGAAAAATAAAAGGTTTTACCTGCCCTTTTCTTACCTTCTATTCCAAAAACACATAGCTATTATTTGACATTCAAAATACCATCATAAATATTAACAAATAGAAACTCTGTAATGTTTACCTGTTTTTATGGGCTTTGTTACAAACACAAATTGCAGTGTCTTTGGTGATTATGAGCAAATAAGATTCTTTTTCCCAGGCGTAAAATAGGTTAATATAATTCATCTTGGAGGTTTTTGTGGGAAATGGGCATTTAAACATTTCTCACAGTGTCTCCTTCCCAGTAAGCATTTAGATGTTCTGTTGTCCATAACGCTGCTCTTTTTTAGACACACAGCTGTGTCTATGTGTAATAGCAAATACAAAGTGTGTGCTGCCGAGAGCTCTAACAGTTTGGGCTCTGGTTGCACCCATAAGCCATGCATGAAAACAATTTCCACAGTTCTCCAGTCACACAGTTCTCACTTTCATTTCTGGACTGTGCATTTAGAAAGGATTTAAATTAAACAGATGGTATTTAGAGCAAATTTACACAAGATTTGTAACCTCTGTCTCTAAAATAAGACCATTTTGCTTGTCCATTTTTAGGTACTGAAAGGGCCTGCCTCCTGGCTTATTTTATGCAAGTATGCAGTCAGGTCCAGGTTTAGAAGGCCACCTTCGCATCAGATCTTCTTGGGGTGGAGAGTAGGGACAGAAAACAAGTTCTACAGTTCTGCCATGTGGGAAATCAAACTTGCACATGCCAGGAATGCATTCTCTTACTGAGCTCTACCACAGCCCCTTCTGGTGCTTTTTTAAGGGTACATATCCCGCCATGTAGAGTTGGCAGGGAAATAAACATTTAGTTCATAT